GGGAGGGGAGGGGAGGGGAGGGGAGGGGAGTCGAACGGCGGGGAAATTGTGTGTATATGAAGTGGGGGAAATGAAGGCGGATAACTCTTGTCGTACTGATGTTGCTGGGTCTGTCCGCGCTCGAATTTGGTGGGGTTGTGTTGATGGGGCAACCATCCGACCAGCCCAACTCTCGTCACGATATCCAACCCCCCAAACACCTCTAAACACCTCCAACACACACATATACAAATACATAGAGACACGGAAACACACGCAAAAACACACACGCACGACTCCTCAGGTCGCCGGACTTGACACGGAGGCCACGGGGGTGTTTGGAGAGGATAGTTCCGCAGACGATGAGGAGGACTACTACGGAGATCTGTACGACATGAAGGCTCGCGGCGACGCAGCTTCCGGCGGCGCGCGGCGCGGCGTGGAGGAGGTGTTTTTGGACTCCGCGGACTCCCGAGGGCTGCTGGGGATGTTGCTGCGAGTGCCATTCAAGCCGAAGCTTCTAGAAGTCCTGAAGCAAGGTGTGAGAGGGAGGGTTTGGTACAGGGAAGGTTGCAAGAGGTCACAGTGTGTACGGTAGGGCCGACAACAGTGTGCGTATGTGTGTGTATGAGGGGGGGGGTATGGGTGGGTGTGTTTATTTTGGGGGTAAGGGCGCGGGGATGAGGATGGAATGAGAATGGCAAAGTGTGCGTGGGGAGTAGGGAAAAGGTGGGTTCCCGGCCGCGGCTGTGTGTGTGTGTGTGTGTGTGTGTTTTGGTACTGGCAGACCCCGGGGGAACTCCCCTTCTCCCACCGGAGATGTGAAACACCTATCAGAAAACACACACACACACGCCACAGCCCCGCCTTACCTTCACCTTCGCAGTCGTAAATCCTTCCCCCGCACAAATCCAGCGTGAGCGCGAGCAAGGATCAACCAACCTTTTCCTCAACCCTCACGCCACACACCTCACGCCATTCCAACCGCAGCAACTTTGTGGACCTTCCCTCTATAAATACCCTTGGGCTCATCCAGCGTTGCTCGGCTGCTTCGTTATGCATCTTTATTTGTGTAACCCCTCTCCCTTGATCATAAAAATGGTACTTTGGGACTTGGGCAGTTCGCCATTCTATACTCCTTGCATGCGATTTCCCCCTCTTTCCCCGGCCCGGTTCTCCCCCGTTTTCCCCCCCTCTTTACCCCCCCCCGGTTTTCCCCCC